TGTTATGTTGGTATTCTGACTACCTACAATTATTTTTTGCAATGTATAATATTTTTATATGGTGTCACGAAAATACCGTTTGGATGATTGGATGACACAGACCACAATTATATGCATGTTTTGACACAATATCTAGTCAGTTCAAGTACCAGAAGAAACAAGAAACATAAAACAGTACTAACAAAACGTTGGAATATGAAAAAATCAAGAATATATTCCTATATTTATTGTAAATTATACTAACCAAGCTTATGGGAGAGGCATGACACTCCTCACTCTTTCGGTACGAATGGGACGGCTCAACCAAAGTGAAACCACAGTCTTACAAAAAACAGACGTGAAATAACGCTTGTGTTGTGTTTCGTCATGTGACAATCTCTAAATGCCAATTCCCAAAAGGCCGGTAACGTACCTACTTTTCTCTGGTGTTTTAGGTGTCCATGGAAAGCGCCGATTGCTTACCATGAGGTAAGCGAGAAGACGTATTTCTCGCTTACCGGCTTAAGCCATAAAAAAAGTATTGCAAATTATAATACTAAACGAACAAACTATTTCATAAAATAAAACAATAATAAGAATAATTTAGTGTTCAGCACTGTTCACTGCTCATCCTCTAAACCATACAAGATTTATATCATCCACAAATCATCCAAGTTATGACGGGGGCAATCTTAGAGCATTCGTTTACTCCATGGGACATCAAATTTAATGTCCAATGCTGGTTTTATGGGGCATAAACTTCTAGATGTCTATATATAAGCGAAAATCGAAATCATTCTGTTAAGGTTACGAATATGTCGTGTTTCAATTGGTAGGTATTGGTTTTGTATTGTTTTTTGTATACTGTTATTATATGCTGAGGAAGTGAGTTGGTTATCAAGTTACCTATATGGCTGATTATTTTGATTGTTTTATCAAAGCGTAGTAATTTGAAACCATAGAGAATATAAATAGAAAGGTCCCGAAAAATACTGACAAAAAAGTAGATATTACAATTTTAAGCGGTTTTATTATAACATAAGCCGGTAAACGAGCAGACTGATCACCTGATGGTAAGCAATCAGCGTCGCCCATGGACACCTGGAACACCAGAGGCGTTACAAGTGCTTTACCGGCCTTTTGGGGATTAGTAGTTTGAGGATCGTTGGGGATTCAGGAATTGGGGAGATTGGGGAAGGGGAGGGTGATTGGGCCTCCGGTAACCTCAATCACGCGACGAAACACAACGCAAGGGTTGTTTCACGTCGGTTTTCTGTGAGGCCGTGGTATCACTCCGGTGGAGCCGGCCCATTCGTACCGAAGCATGGCTCTCCCACACTTAAAACGTTTTTGTTATTACATAAAAGAAACATTTCACTGCAAGGTTGGTGCGGTGGCTGGGCAACCGGCTGCCGTCCAACGTGTCGCGGGTTCGATTCCGAAGCAAGGCTTCAAGGCCCGAGTGAATAGGTTGCTTATGGGACGACGTGCTACATCGTAGACCGCATCATCGCTTACCACCAGGCGAGATAGTGGTCAACGTCGCCCCATCAAATAGGTGTATATAAAAAAAGCAACTCTTTGTGTGATCCACAGATTGTTGTTCCTGGTCTGGGTGTCTTGTGTATGTGAACTTGTATGTTTGTAAACACACCCACGATACAGGAGAAAATCCTAGTGTGGGGCAAAGTTTATTAAAAAATAAAAAAAATAATTTCTAACTTTCATGAAAATACACCTCGTGTCGGCGTTTTACGGGACCGTTCCGGTTACACGTTCATTTTACTATCTCTATCATAAGACTTTTTAATGGAGGATATCTGACAAATGTTTCCATCGACTCGCTTCACCTTTCAACCACGCTAGAACTATAGACGAATCTGTCCATGCTTGTAATTTTTCCATTGAATCATCGCAACACGCATTATTTTTACGACACTATGCTCAAAGGGCTCTCATAAGTAGTTCACTGTTAAGAAGTTAAATTATGATCGCAGTAGCTTAATAATCCATAACAATACTTCAAACCTAATTAGACAGCGCCTTCCAAAACTAAAGAGCCCCAAATAAAACAATTGTCCATAAAATCTGCATATTACAAGTAAATCCCATACAATTTATGGAGAGCGACGTTATTAAACTATAAAAATGAAAATGGGCGTAAAATGAGGTCGCTTAATGGTTCCGCATAATAAAACGGTGAAGTAATTGTGTCGTATAAGCGCTAATAAAGTTTCGTAATTAACGTAAATAGTTTTCTTTGTTATGAGGCGACGGACTAAACTGTTAAGTCTTCAACTCGTTGGGTAGTTTTGTAATTATATCAAGTTTCTTACCGAACTAACGGCGCCTCTATCGGTACAAGAACTTTAAGACCTGTGCTGGTGACACGCAGCAAATGGTATTATAAAGCCTTCAGTTGCTGCACTACATAATTGTATATTATACATGTTATTATTAGACTGCCTCGTTGGGCAAGTGGTCGCAAGGACGCAAGTGCGACTGCCGGGCAAGAGGTCTCGGGTTCGATTCCCGGGTTGAGCAAAGTTCTACTTGGTTCAAAAAAAAATCTCAGTGGTAGCACGGTGTCTGGAATCGTGCCTGGTATATGGCAATAGGCTCACCCCCTGTTACATGGGACTCATAACATAAATAGTGAAAAGTGGGTGTTATATTGTACAGTGGCATTAAGTGCCGTAATGTGCACCTCTGCCTACCCCTTCGAGGATATAAGGCGTGATGTAATGTTATGTTATTATTATATGTTGAAACCCTGATTTAAGTTAAACTATCTTATTCTTTGCTATTGTCATGCATGTTTAAAACTAGTCTATTTAGATAATACACAAAGAATGATTGATGAAAATGAATGTTTACAAATAGCCTCGTGTTTTTTTTATATATTTGACGGGCCGACGTTTGACCACTATCTCGCCTGGTGGTAAGCGATGA